GAGGCTGGTGCTGCTTCAGCATGCAGCGCAGCTTCATCACGCTATTTAAATAAAAACTTAGTTCAGTTAGCATACCTGGACTAACCATAGGGAGAAAAGTGAGGCCAATTAGGCCAGTAGCATGTGAGGCAGTTAATGGAAGAACAATGTTAGGATATGGTTACTATTCTAAGGTAGTGATGGTGATGAGTATTTGGAAGAAGGTACTAAACCATATCTATAGTAGAGCAACATCATGGACAAAATGACATGAACAGCATTAAACACTACCATCTGACATAAATAGCTCTGAGCTGTGATACTGGCTTTCTTGGCACTACAGCATTATTCTATTTAGTGATTCTGTTGTTGGATTTTTCTGTCTGTTGCTGACTTGAAGTCACATATCCCAGCTCAAACATAAAAGTTTGTGCATTCCAACCTTGTTTTTACTGTAGGTTGGGGTTCATTACTTTTCACCTATATGATGATTTGCAATTATGATATGACTATGTATAGCTCTAACCATGGCACTACTTATTATGTAAAATCTTTATTATCTCAGTACTATCACAATTACAGCAGTAAATTTACTGTATATTCCACCCTTAAAAAATTAGAGTAGGTCCTATAGATCAGTTTTTCCCAACCTTTTTTGACTTTGGGCAATTCTTCACCCTCTCAGTCAAAAGTATTGATGACTGTCCAAAAGAGGAACATACAATAACTAAAATAAAGATCATTTCACTTAATCTTTTAATCAAAAAAAACAAAACAAATAGCATTATACGTTGCCTGGAAGTTAGTAAGGAATCGAAATGCAAAATAAAATCCTATTATAAACCTGTATTTATAAAACTGGAGCTTCTCTGAGTAAATCAGTTATAATCACATTTATACTCGATGAATTGAGAAATAATTACAGAATAAAAATTATAGTCAGACTGAAAGACAGAATTAGTTTTACTTTGTTTTCATCAAAACACCCGAGCTGCTTTGATGAGCTCTGATAGCTCAGTTTTAAAAACAGGCTGTTCTCTACATCCAGTCTGTTCCCCTGCTTGGTTTGGGTGTGGATCACAGCTCAAAATGAACTGAAACATATAAGAAAAACTTACTTTTTGGTTGATAAAAGCTTGTATAATTTTTCAGCAGGGTCCTCAGAAAGCAAAACAGATCCCAGCCCTATTTTATTTTACTACCTAAGAAATCAGTCATGCCACCCTGGCTTGGTTACATGACTACTGGCCTGAAAAAATCTCCCAGCCCTGTTAGTCACTGTCTGTATTTAAAACAGAACCAGATAAAATGCATTCTGTATTCCAGACCTGATCAATTTAGGTTTCTGCTCTAGCATCCCGCCACTCCGTGCATTACTTCCCTTGGAAAGCTTTGATCCAGAATGAACAGTGCCACCCTCTAGTAGATGGGGGTGACATTATAACACTGAAATAAATTCCTTGTAAAGTGATCAATATCAATTAATTGGATGGATCTAATTTTAACCTAAGAAACTGGAAAACAACAGTTAATCACAAATTGTTTATTTTATTTAATCCCTGATGCAGATTTTTCATATAACTTCTGGTGTGTTTATAATATTCATGATAACACTGAATTGGACTGATGTACTGTTTTTGCACAAATTAATGTTTATAATCGCAACCATACCAAACAGGACAATTATCATGTATATCGCACCATACATATTTAATGCACTGAACCATATCAATGCGTTTTTGCACCATGTTTTTTCTCCCACACTGTGTAAATTTGATCACTTTTGCACTTTATGGAATGGAAATGTTCTGAAAGCTGTACAAAATTTAATTTTATTTTGTATACCGTCTGTGTATACAAAATGACAAAAAAAGTTGTCTAAGTCTAAGTCATCAAAAGTATTTAGTTTAAATATTTCTAAAGTGTATGTCACTGAAAAGTGTTTCCGCTCGTACTATCATGCATTTACTACACCTCCACAAGATAACTGTTTTTTACCTTCATGGAGGAAAATTAACAAAGGCAACAGATTTTAAGTTGGATCAAATGAGAAAATAAATAAAGTAAAATGAAGGAAATGCAGCAATGGACAAGGCAGAACAAAGACACATTCTTAAATACTATTAAAACTAGCCTTTTATTTATACTGATTTTACATTGCTTTTGTTTGATGCAAACTCCGAAAACTATAAAATAGGTCTGACTTTATAGAGGAAGCCGACCCACATGACAAATATTGGTTATCCACCATCTTTGGGGATAACAGATATTTACTAGTATTATATATTTCTCTACACTTTAAACACTATAATAAAAATAATAAAAATGACCTCAGTACTGACATTGCTTCTTTACGTTAGCTGAACAGCTACAATTATGTGCTGCATTGCTTGAATGCTATCACTGTGTCACATGACTAAACAAAGGTCATATGAGCAATTTCTTGGTCAACAATAAGGAAATATACTTTGGAAGTTAAAATTATCCAAGTTTCAGTCATCAGACTGATGAGGTTACAAACACATTACCAACATTAACTAAAAACAATGTCAGTATTTATAGTTGGGCTCCCTAATCTTCATAAACAATAATAAACCAAGTCATCTTTGCAGGAAGTGTTTTTAGTGTTAAAAATGGTTCAGAATGTACCACACATTACAGTCAGGCCAATAATAGACCCCAGAAGATGTCACCAAGACCCTGTAGGCATCAGTGAAAACACTATAAGATGTCAAATTTAAAAAATGGTGTGAGTGCCAGATGTGATTAACATTTTGACCAAGGAGTTGCAGAATGGCCTGAGGGTCAAAAGATCAGACACAAAAGTTAAAAAGTCTACTTGAAGCTCAAAGGCAGGTTCTCTATTAAAAACACACTCAGTGGATGCTGAAGAGGAAAAAACTGTGAAGCCACCTTTGACCTGCAGGCTGAGTATCTACAGTGAAAAAGGTGTTTAATCTGAAGGCCACAGAGAATAATGTTGGAAACTAAGAGCAGGATGTGATCTGAAAAAACAATGCCTTGTCCGGTTCCAACTCGTTTGTTTCTGCAGACCTACTTCTACGCATGAAATTTGAAGAAACTACATGTAGACATTTTAATAAATCTCAACTGCGTTTAATCACCTCTTAGATGGTTTAAGTAGTTTATCATTTTTTTTATTTAATATGATTGTTGTTTTTTCTTTCTTTTATAAATCTAATCTGTATGCCTATAGCTTTCTATTCTTCACTCTTTAACCTCCCTTCATAGATAAAGGAAATGAATTTACACCTGACGATTTTTAAATTATCTCTTTTTGCATATGTTAAATTTGGACACAAGCTCTTAGAATAAACATTGAAAAAATTAAACAATTAAAACTTGAACAATAAAAAGTGCCAAACCTAACAGATGTATAAGTAAGTCAATTAGTAATTAAAGGGATCAATAATACATGTTAATTGTAGAAATATAATCAAGCATATTAGATTTATGCCTCAATAAATATGCTATTTTTTGTGCACCACTTTAATAATATTGTGATATTACTCCCTATTATATTTCCTTTAGCCAAACCTCTTTCCCTTATAAATATGAAATGCCGTTCAGAGCAGAGAGAGGGGAGGAGGAGCTGCCTTCCCATTTACAGAACACCATTATAAAAGAAGCTTTCTGAATGCATCTTATTACTGCTTACAAGTCACTAAAATAATTTGATTGCACAGAAGAAATTAATTGCAGTTCTACTTCCCAACAGGTACGTTTGCAGGTTTCTGGAGTATATCACAGGCAAAGGCTTATTCAGTCAAGTAGCCACAACTTTGCATCAGCAGCAACAGTTTAGCTAGCATTCTCATTGTCTACTTTACTGTACATCTGTAAAAAACAGCAATAAAGATGCACTATGAACAGGTTTCCACATCTATAGACAGAACCACTTGACTTTTAGCAGAAGCCTTTCTTAACACTGATGGTTTATATGATAATCATGCATGGAGTAAAAGGCAAAGATGCACAGTATTAAACATCACACTCAGTTAGTGGCCCTCACCCTATATATTATAAAATGTTTCGAATACCTTCCTGAACCCCACCAAGTAGATTTGCATTATAAATGATTCTATAATGTGGCCATTTGCATGATAGTTTGCATCGTATTGGATTTTAACACCTTAATATGTGTTTATTTCTACTTCTGGATCTGAGGAACAAATTAATAGATGTTAGCAAGCAAATGAAAACAAAGACTTTGAACTTCAGTAATTATTTTCATGTTGCTGCCTCTCTATGATAGAAGTACAAAAAAAATCTAAAAACCATCAGTTTTTTTTTTTTATCAATCATGACCTTACATACGGAATATGTAATTTGGGCCACTGAAAGAAAAAAAAAGTTAACTGATTTTTAAATTTTTTTTCAGTTTAATATGGGAAAAAAGTCAGAATTCTGACTTTAATCTCAGAATTCTGACTTTTTTCTCAAAACCTACAGTATTTTATTTAGAATAGAATTTTATTTTTATTTAAGATATTTGAAAATGCAATTTTAACTTAAACCATCAAGTGAGCACTGGATGAAAAATGTGAAGCTAGGTGATTTTTTTTTTTTTTTTTTGCATTTGTATTGCTCTTAGTAGTATTTTAAGACATACGACGTTTTTTTCCTAAATTATTAATAAAAACATATTAACTAATATACAATTAGATACACACATATGTAAAAAGAAATTATTGATTTTGGTTCTAATGCAATTATGACACATTGAAGGCAAGTCAAGGGTAGTGTATTTATATAGCACATTTTAGAAGCAAGACTGTAATTATCTAATTAATTATCTAATTTTGGCCCCTTTTGACTGCCGTATTTTGTCAAAGGTTAGCCTACTTAATCCGATCTGTTTGTGAACATTAGACATGATGTATGCCCATTTACCTAATAACTTAGAGAACATCTACCATTTCACTGTCACAGTGAACACTTTAACACAGCTCCCACGCCCATAGATCCCTCCCTGGGCGGGACGATCACTCTGGTGTCTTTACTCACTTTTTAAACACTCCTTCAAGGCGCAGGACGCATGAAGCACACGTCAAAGGGAACCGAGCTGCCTCATTGAAACGCTGATCTTTTGGAGCCACCTTTCATTTTTTATGCGCGCATGTATTTTCCTTGAATGATCTCATTTTGCAGAATCGGAGGTGCGCTTTCTGCCATGATGCTCGGAATTTGCGGGAGTTGTTGTCTCCAAACTCTGGATTAAAACTGGGATTTCTGTAGGAAAAACTAAAGAGGAAACAGAACAAACCTGTCTGTTGGGAAGCTGCGAAGGAGCGAAATGGAGCTGATTTCTGCACTGATTCTTGTTGCGTTTTTAGGTAAAAAAAAAAAAATAGTTTTAAAAAAAAATTTTGCATGCCTTTTTTGTTTGTTTAATTTGCTGCAACTAAAATTGATTGAATTTCCTGCTTTCATATCATCACACCAGCTTACTGTGTAATAATTACAATAACATTGAAAAATTACTTTTAAAAAAAAGGTGACACTCATTAACTTTATTCATTTATTGTTACCAGAGGAAGATTTTGAACTATTTCATTTATCATTATTATTATACATCACAATATTACAAAAGATCCATTTGTCACATTTTGCAATATCAATGTTAAGTCTATTACAGGCATGGGGAATAGCAATGAGTTAAGATAAAAAAAAGGATAAAAGAGTTGCATTAACAGGCATATCCTATAAAGAATAAGGAGAAAGGTTGACGTCACAAAACAAATTTCAGCTTTAAAAGTTCTCCACTGACTCCCTGATTAAGATATAGATGATTATTAGATATGATAGATATATATAGATATATATAGATAGATATATTATTATGCATATAAAGAAATAATAAAAAAATATATATATATTTATATATATATACCGTATATATATATATATATATATATATATATATATTAGAGCTGCTGTAATTCAGTGATTACAGCACCTGTTTATCAACAGGTTGGAAAACTAATGACCCTTTACTGACTTGTGTTTGAATGTTAGAGGGCAATAGAAGCCCTCCATAAGGCTGCTGTGCAGATAAAAGCTGTGGGAGAGTTAAGAGCCACTTTAAACATCCGTTCCTGATAAAACCTGTGTCTGTGCAGCGCTGGATTATGGGCATGCTGTTGACCCACTCCATCTGCTGCAGATGACAGTACAAAGCAACATTTTGGCAGGCAGCTTAAAGGACTATCCGGGATAAAAAGGACGCTTCGGCCTTCCACTTATTCTTAAGTGTGTTTAAGTGTCTTAAAGTATAAATTAAGTAGTGTGTCATTGCAGGTTGCAAAGAAAATGCTCTGTCAGTGTGGATTACAGCCTGCTGGAAATTGACCAGGGGAGAAAAAACCTCAGTGCTGACATACTGAGCGTTTTTAAAAACAGAAATGGTTGCCTGAATCTGTTTAAAATACATTTAAGAAACTTTAAAGCTCTAAGTTATAAACTAAGTTTCTTTAGTTTTCAGGTTTTGGACTTTCTCTGACCAGAGAGTACAAATGAAAAAAAAACACAACTATCTTGTATTATTGTGTTCTACAGTGGAGCTATGTCATCAAATGACACTATTTTAGTTTATCGTTAAAAAGGATGAAGCTTTTAAAAGCTCAGCCAGCAGCATATTTAGAGGAACCTGAGGAATGTAAAAGTTTACATAACTGAGCCCAAATGAAGACGTTAAGAAATGTTCTTTTTTCTATTCTAACAGAATTAGGTTAACTTATACCTAGCCGGTCAGATTTTTCAATTACAATCAATCAGTTCAGGTGGATAAATCACAACAGTGATGCACATCAGCAGTCAGAGGAATATTCGTTTCTGTAAAAAAGGGTTAAAGACGTGAAGGATGAGAATGTTTTCTCAAAACGAGTCTTAGTGGAACTTTATTCTTGTTATGCGTGGACACTTCTGATATTCAAAGCCATTCTTCACACTTTTCATGCTTGGGTTGCCATGGTCTTGTTGTAGCCCATTCTTAATGGTGTAGATACAGAAGTTGAAGTCTATGAGTTTCAGGATGGATGGATGGATTGATTTGTTGGAATACAGTCTTGAAATCCTTTTTTCCCCCATGCATCAATTTATTTTGTCATTCTTTTGGTCTGGAAAAAATGTAATGTTCCCTTCCTTCATATGAATGCAGATTAATAATTAAAAGTAAAGTAGTAAAAGTAGAATGTAATTTAATTTTTTATTTTCAATTTAAAGTCTGGGGAACAACAAACAAAAGTCCTTTGTGTGGTTCCCATTCCGGCACTTTGGATTTTTCTCTTCCTATAAATGATGTGCAGTCTCTGCTGCTGTCAGAGCTCCCAGTGCTCTTACCTCAGCAGTGGGATCTGGCCAACTGGAAATGTTCACTGCGGTTTAGAGCTCTGAGAGTTTTGTGGTCACTTTGATTTGAGGCGGAGTGCTGCAGCAGCTTGGGAAAGCAGCAGCAGAGAAGGTCTCAGTTGTTATGATTATTGCCTTTAATGAAGAAAGAAGTAAAAAATATAAAAATGGAGCTCTGGTACATCTGTCACCTGTTTAATGTGTGTAAGGAAAAAAAGAGAACACATACTGTAAGCTCCTTATAATCATTTTCTCATTTATTTCTTCATTAATTTGTTTTCTGTTTTAGAGTTTGTTCTCGTTTTGGCTTTAGCATAAAAAGATTGGAGAACATCTTTATATCTCATTATGATGTTGAGATGTTTTTAACATTTTATGGATTTAAGATCAGTTTTCTCTAGAATTGGTTTAATCAGAAAAAAATGAATAAGACATGTCGTATCTACTGAAAAATGTAATATTGACACTGATGCTCAGATCTGACGATTCAGATGATGAGTTTAAAATCTAGATTTAACATGAAGGATTTCCCACTTTTCAAATATTTATTGTATATTAAAAATACTTCCTCTAAGTCCAGTTAACTATTACGTGAAGAAAACTGGAGACATCATAATGAAAAAGCAGTATTGCAATAATTATATTTATTATTATAAATGATTATTGATGTTAACTGTTGTGAAGATAGTCTTATTAATGTCTGCATCTGATTGGCAGAGAGAACAGGAAGCTGCTGGGCTTATTGACTGTAAAGATGGAAACGACTTTCCTTTATTTAGGTTTAACTGTCATCCAGTGTTACAACAAGAAATTATATCAAAATAAAGCTTCCTTTAATCTTATTTATCACCTAACAATAGAGGTATAAAACACAGTTAATGACCAGAACTGTTTAATTTATAGCTTGATTTGCCCTAGCTTGTTACAAACTGGTAGGCTGGAAATGTATAATATAAGGTATTTTCTGACCAGTAATAACACCTTATCTAAGTGCTAAATATACATATATAAATGTCCAGATGTTATTTCCTCATAGTTGAGCTTATGTGTCAATTTATGCTGCTTCCTGATTTTAAGCTCGATAGCATGAAGAGTTATGTGTCTGAAAAAATACTTTACAAAGAAGAGCAAGGCCACCTCTGAATGACTCCAACTAAACATAAATGTATAAGGGATTTGGTGTGGCCTAGTCAAAGTCTGTACCTCAATCCTGTCGAGATCCAAACCTGAAAGGCGCCATCCAGGCTCAAAACTCTACATATTGCTGAATTAAAATAATCAGCAGAAGGGTTTTGAACTAGACTTCTAATTGAATGATAAAACTTTTTTTTTCATAGTTGTTTTTAATTGTTTTAACATTTGTCCACTTTTATCGTATTGCCGCTTTAAATGGTTGGGTGTTAAATGTTTACTAATACAACATCAATTCACACGCAGAGTCTTATTATCCGTTTATTTGATTTCTCTTGAAAATAAGTAGCCTGCATCTTAATAAAATTTCCCCTTATTGACAGTAGTGACAATGAATTCAGTAATTGAAAAAGCATTTGAAAAATATTGCCTTTTGGATGATTCTTCCATTTCTAGATTTCAGTTCAGCAGTACTAAGGTTGAGATTACAATTCACTAATCCCAAATGGAAATTAAATGTATGTTGTAACTCATTTTCTTGGTTTCTGCAAATAGTATTTTATATAATGATGGCTGTGGGCAGGAAGACGTTCCTGTAGAGGTCTGTCTTACAGCGGTTCTAAAGAAGTGTCTGACTGAACACACAAGCAAACTATGGAGTACCTTGTTCTACTGAGTAAAGCTCTTCTTTGTTGATGAATACGTTTAAGGCAATTTCCATTTCCAATTAATGGAACCACAGAGAGTCTAGACAATTTGAATCCTCTAATTAGGGCTGGGTTTTATGGCTGAAAAATGTATCTGGATATAAGCTTTTCATATCAATCAATACTGTTTTTTTAACCTTTTTGAAATAAAGTAATTAGGAAATAATCCCAAATTCAAACTGTAAACCTTACCCTATTAAAAAAACAAAACAAAAAACATTTAATTAGAAGCTTTGTATAGTTTTGCTGTAAGAGGCTAAATGCTTTGCTCTGCCTACATCCCCAGAATACCATGTGGTTCTAGATAGGAGTTCAGTGGAATTACTGAATATCATCTTTACTGATCTGTCTCTGTTATGATATAAATTGATATTTATTTATTATTGATATTTATTGATTTACTGCACAGCCTGACTTCCAATATGTTTAATCTATCCTTCCCCAGATTGTGCTTTTTTTCTGAGTTCTACAGAAAGTTCTTTTGACTTTATGTTCATGCATTTAGCAGATGCTTTTATCCAGTGTGCAAAATACCTGTTAATATTTGGGGGGGTCCCCATCTCCCGATTGTTGCGAAATACCAATCTAAATTTTCTCAATATGCAGTAGGCCTATAACATTTCACAGTCAAAGTCAGCTTTAATGTCAATTCTTCAGATTCACCAGACATAGAAGGACTCGAGAGGACGTTCGTTTCTCATTCACCAACAGTGAAACAGATAAAGTGCACAGGCACAACAGATAAGATCCGTTCCTAATACTAAAATTTAAACATTCAATTTCACAATAAAATATAAAATGTACAATAATATAAAATATACAATACTTATGCTAGTGCAAAAAGGCAGATGGTAATGGCAGCAGAAAAATTATTATTATTATTACCAAATATGTAAGATATAGCATTTGTAACAGTAACAGTGCAAAAGAACAGTAAATAAATATAGTATTAATAGTAGTGCAGGAGACAGTTTGTCCGGAGTGATTTTTTTTTGAGGGGGGGGTCAGCTTCCTGACAGCTTGGTGGATAAAGCTTTCTGTGAATCTGGTGGAGCGGGCAAGAGCCTGAACAGACAGTCAGTCTATGAAAACACACACACGCGCAAAGACTGTCTGTCTCTTTCATGCACCCACATGTCCTGCTTTAATCCAGTTTCTGACGATTGGAAATGGGTCGAATTTGTCCAGAGGAGGTCCATTGAGGTCCACAAAGGAGTGAAGACCTGCTGTCTTCACGCAATCTGTTGCCAGTGTTATTAACTGCTGAAAAGTACATGGCTAATTTGCATACGCGAGCAGATTGGCTGGCTCCACTTCGCAAAAAACAGCATATTTGTTAATAAAGGTTTTGATTTTGAGCTTAAAAACATTTTAGTGACCATTAGCGACAAAAAAATAATTTATGTCCTGCCCTCACTCTTAGCTTAGCAGGTAGATAACCATCATTTCCAATAACCACACCGTAAGCCTTTTCTTTGGATTTATTGGCTGGTATGGATGGATGAATGAATGAATGGTAAAACTGCAACAAAAAAATATTGTGCAGAAGTCTTTGTGTAAACAGGCACAATTCCACATAAACAGGCACAATTCCCCTAAATAATAAACTCAACATATTCCCTGAATATGTACAGAAACACATAATGACACAAACAACATGTTAACATTGGCCGCTAGCTAGCGGGTATGCTAGCGTCTTTTTAAACTTCTCTTCTCTGTGACCTTTCTTGCAATAAACCTCCAAACACAACATGAAACATAGTACTATATGTACATAAATGAAATACACATCAAATTACATGCTGGACTGGTCAAAGAACGCATCACAGAGAGAACAGATAGGTATGCAGCGTATACTCGTTAAACAGAAAGACACCAACTGCTCAACCTCCGGTGCTTTCAAAATAAGACTATATCAAAGATTATACATAAGAAAGCTTATAGTATATAACTTAGAAACAATACGCAAATATGAGCAATGGCTTCCTGAGGAGCCAGAACAATTTATTTTAATTTTTTTTGACACAATTTAAGACCCCCCTTAAATTTTGCTTTTGAGGCTTTCAGGGGGTCTCATGGGTTGATCGGGGGGGTCGAGCCTAGGGTGGCCAGATGTCCGGCTTTAGGGCGGACAGTCCGGATTTTCATTGCACTGTCCGGTGTCCTCCTTTACCCCCAGATTCCACATACTCCGTCAGCGCTCCGCCCCGCTCACGTACGTCGTGCAGAGTACTTGTCTGTCATGTAAATCAATGAGAGCTGTTCCACATCCTCCGCTCGTCACCGCCCACATACGTCTTCTCCGTCCTTCACCGTCAAAATACGGAGCTGAGCTATTTTTTGCTCCCCTCCGGTCCGTCCAGATCAAGACCTGCTATTGCAATCACACCAAACAGAAAAAAGAATGTAGAGAAGACCCGGTTTGTCAAATTAAATTATAGTAAAAACAGATCGGTAACTAGAAATTAGAGAATAGTTCCTATATATTCCCAAAAACTAAGAGCAATTAATTAAATAAGTTGATGCAGACTATTGGTGCTTCAACAGACCAGGAAGAAGTTGTGAGATTCTAGAGCGCATCTCACCACTTTAAAAGAAAATTCTTATGGCAGGAATGGATGAAGAGATGAGTTTGGAAGCAGAGAATAAACAGAGTTCATACAAACTATGTATGACCCTAGTTATCCCTGTTACAAAAATCCACAACAGAAAGAAAATATTTGGGCAGAAACTGAACATCTGCTGGATGATGATGGGGATTTTTTTAATATGTCAGATTAAATTAAGCGTTCACAGGTTTTATACAGGAATGAGGAACTCTAATTTAATGCTCTTTTAATGCTATTAGAAATAATTTTAATGCCATCAACAAGTATCATGTACACAAGTTATTAGTTTACATGAAATAAGGAGCTGTAAGCACAGTTCCATGACTCAAGTTTATATATATATATATATATATATATATGGATAGATAGAGAACATGGTGAAATCATCTTTACTCTCAACAGGCTGCAGCCATGTCATGAATTCCTCTTTTCCAGCCACTTTTTGCAGTTTGCATCGTCCTATTCTCTAGCTCTTTCTCGAGCTTCTTTTCCAAACAACTGCTTTATGATCAATTCCAGCAGTTCTGCGCAAATTAATCGTGTTAAAAAATTGTCACTTTTTAAACACCACAATGTATTAAATAAATACAAATGCTGGGAACCAATTCTTTTTTACATTTCTTTAATATTTTGTTCTATTCAGCTACACAAGCATCCTCTTTAAACTACTAAGAATTGTGCTATAAATGTGACTTTACCCGATTCTTATGTACACCTTAGTAATTTATTGATATGCCGCACAATGTCCTCCTTTTTGGTGCTATAGAAATGGCCACCCTAGTCGAGCCCCCCCCCGGACCCCCCGTATTTCGCACTCTGCTTTTATCCACACTGGCAGCTCATTCCCACCAGGGGGGATTCGACTCCTGTGTGCAACTCGGGAAACTTTACTGTTTGCTTTCTTCTCCAATATCTGCTGTCATCCCATCCATTTGTTTATGTTGAGGCAATTGATCTTTAAGTTGCAACAAAAAAAATCTGCTGTGTAATCAGGGAAACGACGCAGCTGAGAGTCAATTTAACTAACAAAAAGGGGTGTGAATACTTATGTGGGCGTTATTTACCGTAATTTTTGACTCAATATATGGGGTGTAGTGTGAAAACAGCCAAAGCCTTGGCATATAGGAGATTTTGGCTTCCTACAATCAGATGGTTCTTTTCTCCCTCTTTATCTCATTAGTTTCAAATCAAAATCTGCAAAGCAACCTGCAGAGGCATTCCAGGGCATCGGATGATATTTCAAGCAAGTAGAATCTGATACAATTTAGAGCTAAATCTTCATATTTCAAGGTCGATTTTAATGGTATGAGGGCATTTACATTGAATAAAACCTTGGTGGAATGTGGGCCTAGAGGCTATTCTTTGTCTGCTGGCCTTGAAAATGCTTTCATTTCCGACACTTTATCTTTTCAAGCTCATTCCAGCCCTGAAGATATTGTTTTCTGTTTGGTTGGATGGAGAATGAGCTTGCAAAAATCAAACAGGATCTTGTTTTTATCACTGTGATATGTTCTCCCTGCATGATTTTCACGTCTTTATGATTTTTATCTAGTTAAATGGTTCTATTCATTCATGTTGTAGATTATCACATAAATTATCACCTTTACCTTTACAAGCCACTGATAAAACTATGGAGCTTTGTCTACATGCGTTAAATTGATTGAATAAAGGATTAAGAGAAGTTCAAAGCTGCTCAGTTGATTAAAGCACATATTTGAAGCTATGACATTAAAGCTGAAATTTCCTTTTCTTTGTTTTATCTCACTCCAATTTACCTTTTGATGAGTTTTATGTATAAAATCATTTAGTAAAGTATAAAGATCAAGCTTTCTTTTGAGAACTTTGTGCTGTTTTTCCCCTCAGTTTGGGCTGACGGTTCAACTCTGCATCCCCCAAGTCATCGCTCCTTGAAGAAAACCTACAGTCCGTCTTCTAAAGGCTCACTGTGTAACCACATGCTGAGGCATCTTCACAATGGGGCCCGGATCACCGTGCAGATGCCTCCAAACATAGAGGGCCACTGGGTGTCCACCAGGTAACTCTGTTTTTCAGCTGTAACTGCTTTTGCCCAAATGTGTTAGTTCATGTGTTAAAAGATCATTTAATTTTTGGTGCTGTTACAGCTCATCACATAAAGCAAACATAAGGTTATTTGTCAACTTCTGCATAACATAATAAGAAAGGACTCAGTCAAAGGGTAGCTAATTGAGCAAAAGTTCCCATTAGCCCATATTTATATATTAAAAGAATAGTGGAGAATTTCCTTTTTCCGGCGGGATCATCAAATAAAATGGTCCTCCTAATTGTCAACCTGCCTACCTGCTCCTCCCCATTTTCTCTTCTAAGTGAGTCTAACATAGTAGAAAAATTATAAATCTTCTTTCGGAAAGTAAGGTTGCATGAGCGATGCAAACAGCAACTTTTAAACACAGTGTGCACGAGGAGGAATGGGCTCTTACATGCTCTAGCACATGTTTAATAGGCGTTCCCTCTTGGGAGCAAGAACAGGGTTGTGCATGTGCAGTTTTTTTTTTAAGATGAGAGGTCTTTTTTAAAAATTCACAAAAATCCAAAAACCTTTAAGGAAGCAGAAAACAAACTGTCTTCAACCATTTAAGATTCAGTTTTGAGTATAACCATGTTAGCATGTCTGTATCGTGTTTTAGTTTCAAGGAGAAACTCTGATACCTTGCACAGCACCTGACTTTGTCAGGGTTTGGTTGAAGTTTAAGGACCCAAATGCAGAGGCAGAGAGGCTGAGATGATTTCTTGCAGTTTAATTGAAAAACACAGGTAACAGTGGCAGCAATCCAAAAATCCAACTAAAAATGTTAACAAACCAAAAACCATGGAGACATCAGGGGAAAACGAGTACGAGGAGACAGGGAGAGACGAGGTAAGAAGACAACAGCGACGAGGAACCAGCGATGACAAGGAACCAGCAAAGACTGACAGCAGAGGGAGAGTATTTATGGCTGACTGAACAAAAACAGGGCTAACGAGTTGAAAAGGAGCAGGTGTGAGTGGAGCTAACGAAGAAGCCAAGGGGAAAGGAACAAACACAAGAGGACAACAAAGAAAAACCTGTGAACTAAAATATATCTAGAAACACAAAGTAGGATATAAACCAATGAAACACACGGATCAAAGTTAAACAGAAAGTAAGAGTGTGATTGATTTATTACCTATATTTTGGATGCATTTTATATTTTAAAAAAAGAACAGATTAACTGAAATGGACTGTATGCTGCCAACCATGACATGAAGGTTTATCAGAGTTCCACTTTTTTTTCTTGCAGTTGTGAGGTGAGGCCTGGTCCAGAGTTTCTAACTCGCTCCTACAGGTTTTACCCCAACAATACCTTCCAGGCTCACCAGTTTTACTACGAGGACAACCACTGCACCAAACCTACCTACACGCTGGTTATTCATGGTCGACTGCGCCTGCGTCAGACCTCCTGGATAGTCCGCGGAGGCACGGAGGCAGACTACCAACTCCACCAGGTCCAGACAGTGCTTCACACAGCCGCTAAGGCCAAAGAGCTGAGCCAGAGACTAAACCGCAGTTGCCGAGGGGCTATGAAAGGCCCCTGGGTGCCCGACGTGATGTACGAGCTGTGGAACGAAGAGGGAGGCTACGACTGCTCTAGAGAGCTTAACTTTACCATGCATGAGCTGCAGCTGCTACGAGTGGAGAAGCAGTACCTGCATCACAACCTGGATCACCTGGTGGAAGAACTGTTTCTGGGAGACATCCACACTGAGCCCACGCAGCGGCTCTACTACAAACCCTCCAGCTACCAGATCCCCCTGCAGAACGCCAAGGTTGGTCCCAAACTTTCTTGAGTAACGTCTTAGTTAATGAGGCTCATTTTATTCTTAGATTTATTTTAAGGTATTTTTTTATTTTACAATTTTGATATAGATAGCTGTACAAGAATGGGCAAGAGTAAAAAAAAAAAATAAAATTACAGTACTTGCTCGAATAGATAAGAGCATAGTGAAACAGGGGCACAGATTCAGCTCCAATACCCACATCCTCTTATTGATCATTGTTAAAAAGATTTCTTGAAATTGAAGACTATTCCCCAGGACATGAAAATCTATTGATTCTTCATCCTGGTCATGTTGTCATTGTCTTGGTGCCCTCTCCAGGCACCATTGTCTTGGTGCCTGAGAAGCTCCAGGCCTATAGTTCTTTGAGACTGACTGCAGTTAAAAACTGTGTGGGTGTTTGGTAACCTGGCAGTAGCTTATTGATATGTGTAGAACTGAGTTGAGTTCATGTAATCAACCTGGGATGCAGGTTCTGACTGGTAATCTGTGATACCGGGCATTTGCCCGGTGGGCAGGTCCTAATTTCAGCGTGCCTCCTTAAATCATACCGGCCGAAGCACCTACCTGTGACAGTAGATAACTCAAGGAGCTCAAGAAGTAATACAATGTCAACTACCTAAACAATGCATGCAGTATATATAGCCATTACCATGCACATCCTTGTGACGGTTGGCATATGGTGTCATTTTTTATTTCTTCAAACTATAAAATCCTTGCAACAAACTAAACTATAATAAAACAAATTCTTTCTTTAAACAACACTGCAATGTTACTTTTATATTTAGCAAATTTATGTTAGAATATTTTGCAAAAATATATTGCAGTGCATGATGGGGTTTTGCATCTAAAGGTTAATGTTTCCCATCTTACGTGCATTGTTGCCAGGTTCGGATGTTTCCCAATCTGGTAGTTTAGGATGGCCGTCTATGAGTAAAACATTTTTTCTTTAGCTTTATGGCCTAAGAGATCAATAGACGTTGGTTCAAATTAGGTGAGATTTTGTATATCCAGGCAGTTTATGAAGATTTTTTGGGCTGGAAAACGTCAGAGACATCTGGCAACCCTGCTGATGTGGTGAGTGGCGCTGATCCATGGAAAAACGGATGCTGTGGATGTTGCTTGGGTTATATTTTCATTTCAGTGGATATTCTGTTGTTTTATGTTGGTGTTTTTACAACACTCTGGTTTAAATTGTAGACCTAGTATGTGTGAGTTGGTGTCTGGCTTGTTTTGTGCAAGTGTGGATGTTACACAGTCACTGTCACGTCCATGTTAATAACCAAAGCCAGTAAAACTGCCTTATAGAAGTCTTGGTGATGGTCGTCATGTGATCCTTGAAGATAGATAGGTTAATCTACCCTAAACCCTAAAATGTGTAAATGACATGCACAACTGACACATTCAATGCCAGAAACAACAGAACCTCTCTAAACTGGTACTAGTTCATCAGTAGGACTCGGTGAGGGCCAGTTCTGGCTCAGTTCTCAGATAACAAAGAGTGCATGAGCAGACCGCTTCATCTCCTTACAATCAGCCTCTGTAATCATTTATATCATTCTAGCTTCCCTACCGTGTAATTCTAGTGATGATTCTGCTTAGCAGTGTGATGGTCCTCAACTCCTGTCGTTTCCTGCATCTGTAAGCCCTGATTAGACTATTGTTTGTCGATCCAATTCTCAAAAGCCGACTCTTTCAAGTAAATTCACCAAAGGCTGCCTTCTTTGCCTGACTCTGCCAACAACAAAATATCATAATGATAATCAAACTTCCTGAATGTTGATTTGCTTGTTAACTTCTAGAGAGCAGTAGTACCGTAGATCGTCTCTAGGAGGCGAGGAACCGTGCTAGCGTCGTAAGGAACCAAGCTCGGCACGGTTAACTGATCCAAACTTGGTCTGAACTCAGCACGGATCGGTTTCAGAGGGTAGTATAAATGGGGCTTTATTTTATCTGCAAAATATTCAATAAGTGGAATGATTTAGTAAGACATTGATCAATGCTATAGTTGCATATCAATTCAGCACTGCATGTGTTCTCTGCTGCACTCCTCTCCTTGTGCCTGTTCTCTACCTCAGTCAGTGGAGGAGCCAAGGATCTACTTGTATGTGAAACTCAGCTTATGTGTAAGAAAAAAAAAAAAAACGCTTACATCAGTAAATATCTTCCTATCATTGTGTTAAAGGTCAGTATTAGTGGATTTGGCACATTCATGAACTTCATGGCTCTTGGTGTCAAAAAAAAAACTGTGGATAAAACTAGATATATTGTTTTCTTGCGTTCTTTCATTGGTTTTTGAGGCAAAAGTTTTCCATATATACAAGTTCTGCAAAAGTCTTCATTATATTTTGTTTTCTTATTTTAAGTCTTAAAGTTCAATTCCTGCGGGTGATTTGGCAGGGCGTTGGATGCTCCTGTTATTGTCTCAGATTGATCACAGCAGTCTGTCTGTCTAACAGATTCCCACCTGCAGATCTGACATGTGATTGTTGGAACAATATCCCAAGTTCAAGATAGGGGTTTATTTTCTATCCCGCGCATGAGACTTAGTTTACACTGCTCCACAATCCCATTAGAGACCCCACACACATTTTCAAGAGCATGACCTGAACTTTAAAAATGTTTCTACAGCCAGGGCTGGGAAAACGCATTTAGAAGCACATTTAGGCTGAAAGGTCTAAAAGGAGTGAACTTCCAAACAAGTACAGACCATTGACATGTCAAGCTGTATTTTTTTTATTTAATCCTGCCCCTTTTCTTTTAGGTGAGAAAACTAAACCTCCCCCTGAATGCTGCCCTACCTGACAAAAAGCATGTAAATATAAACAAACCTTTTAACATCCCCTAATTCATAGCTGCAATAAAAGAAAGCAGAAAGTAAACTGTTTTAATTTCACCTCAAATCTAAAATGTTCTCTTTGATGCTGACATGATATGATTTCTCTGTTAGACTCCAGACTACATTCTGCAAAGATTATATAAAATCCTAAACAAATAGCTTTTTTGTGCAGAGATGATAAGCCTTGGTGATAGTGATCAGAACATAAACACAGTGTGGAGGAATTACAGAAGCTCCCCTGATGGTCTGTAATAACCACTGCCTTTATCCTTAAAGGCCTTTTGCCTAAAGAGGTGCAATAGGAGTCAGGGCCCAGGGAATATCACTGGGAACAATAGCATGGGGTATTTGTAGAATCTGGAATCATGAAGGTTTGTTAAATATTTAGCATGGTCATCACAGGTTTGTTTTTCATGCATGCCTAAAGAATGAGTCCAACTATTGACCAGTTCCTTCTTTCCTCTGTTTTTTTTTCTTACTAAAACAAAAATTCAGATTTTATTCTTTAAACAGCAGCTGGACTCTACTCAAATCAACTTTATTTATAGAGCCCTTTAAACCAACCACAGCTGCCACAAAGTGCTGTACATACCAAGGAAACAAAATGGTATAAAAACAACAAAACAGTTTAAAAGACTGAATAAGGCGCAGTCAGGCGAAAGAGTTTGAATAATTTATTTATGTAGGTGAATGTCTATTTTTCATTAATATCTTTTCCAGATGTTAACTTGATTTAAAAGAAAATCAGTACATGTTTAAACTGGCACACAACGATCTAAACACCAATTTAAAACTGAAGAGGAACAATAATTCAATTGCTGCTAAGTCCCTGAATCGTTATTATTTTAATGTTTTATTATGATACAGTGTTTTTGCATTTAAAAATGCATTGTGACGCATAAAGTTGTATATATCTTTAAATTCCTATCCTCTGAGCTATCGGTTTTTAGTGCTGAAATACAGCCCAGTTGGCACAGTCTGGATTTATTTAGTAGCTGCATCATAGCCATTGTCTTTCTGGTAGTTCAGTGTACTGCTAGTAGATGGTGCAACCTCTATTTATGTATGCTAATCACGACCAGTACTGGAGTTCTATTTGGGCTTAAAAAAGACAATCAAAGCACCATCAGGACAGATGCCTAGAGTAGGTTATCGAGCATTATTTTATCATAGTTAACTGGATTTGGTAACTTAACAATGCACTTTTAACGCACAAATAAGCAAATAGCAGCTCAATGCAAAACGCCCCAGTCAAAGATGGTGTCAAACTTACTCTTAAACATTTTTTTTTTTGGCAAGTGTTTTTCATACCCTGCTGCTTTTATTTAGACGGGTTAAATTTAGTTACTCCCTTTGTTTAAGTGTTACTATAAATTACCACATGGCTTTTTTCAACCACACTATAAGTATCCAACCCATGAACTCTGATGCATTGTTATAAGAGAGTTACATTTTCACATGCAGCTTTCTTTTTTAAAAACCTCATTGAAACACATTTACACATATTGAGTATCTGATGCTGCAGGTATTTATGCAATATAAGCATTTTATTTATTATTTTATTTATTTATTTATTTACCGGATTCTGACTGTGGTGTGGTGCTAGGCTGTCATAGCTGGACCAGGAGCGCTCAACTAGTCTGGTTCTATTCTTTTCATTTCTTTTCATTTAAAAAGTCCCTTCTCTGTTGGGAACAAACTGTTGAGCTCAACTCCCTCTTTAAGCTGCGGCATGTTCGTCTTTTTCCTTCTTTATTCATGAGGTTTTGGTGACTATCCAATCCATTAATTTAAAGTAGCTCAATCCAGAATTGGTCCCAGCCTAAGAACATTTGGTGCCAGGCTGTTCGTTTGTGGTTCCTGGGTCAAAAGCAGCAGTGATGCAAGAGACAAATTTGTTTCTTTCATTCTGCCCTGCTTCACTGCTATGTCACTGACGGGACTAATGACTTCTTTCTATATGGCAACTCACAAAATGTTATAGTCTTACCACCCCTTCGTACGTTCATTTGAGTCAGCAACATGTTGAATTGTGTTTATAATCATTAACAGGTAATCTAGTCAGAGAGAGGCTGGTAAAACACTCAGAATGCAATTGATATTCACCTTCTCTAGTAATAAAAAGGTGGTTCTCTTTAAAGAGTGTATGATA